GAGTGGATAGATATAACTTGGAATATATGTCTCAGCACAGAATCCCTCTTCTCCTCCGTGACTTTACTTTCGTCGCTACATCGCGGTAACTCATGGGCTGAATTAGAAAGTCGATACAAGTTTTAATTGGATAAGTTACTTTGAGAATCTAACTTTCGTATTTGAGCCGTTTCGTAAAGCCACTGAGGGGAAAATGTTAAGGAGATCTACCGTTGTAGTGAAATTCGGGGGCACGCTCGCAATACGGCGGTATCATGAATTTGTATATCGACGAACAGAACGTTAAAGGCAAATGATACATATTACGTATCAATTATAATATCGCCCAATTGGAGACCGATTATCGCGACAATGTTAATTTTGTCCTCATTGATTGTGAGAAAAAATGAAATAATTTTGGCAATGATTTCATTGACATTTCTGAAATTTAAATACCTGTAACTAATTTCGTAAAGTATAATAAAAACGAAAATAATACTGAGTACTATAAGTATTAGTTATAGCAACAACGTATGTGAATTAATTGATAATCATTATAGTAATTAATTGATAGTAAAATAGTGATTGAACTGTAATTACACATAGTCCTACAGTACAATTTCTCGTACAAATAAGATATGACAGATACATCTTTTCAGTCTAGACAAATGTTTTTTTTTTTAATTAATTATTATAATAACTAATTAATCATTTACTGCAAATAATAGTTTCCTACAATTACTAAATGGTTAATATTATTTTTTTGGTTTGAATTTTTGTTCTTGTATGTTATAATTTTACAATACATATATAGAGGCGCTATTTTCAAATGTCTAGTTACTGGTACGATTTTTTTTTTCAGTATTTATATATTTTCTTAATTTGTGCTTATTCTCATAAAGCAGACACTCAAATATAATTAGATTAGATTATTATTGTACTTACACTCTAAATTTTTTGCAGTAAAATCTCAGTCTGAGAGGGTGAAAATACAACCACCCTTGAAAAAAAGTGAAAATATTTCACTCCAAAAAAGTGAAATATTCACTCTTTTGAAGTAAAAATTCACTCTAAAAAGAATAAAAATTGTCACTCTTTTTCAAGAAGGGTTGCATTTTCACTTTCTTGAAGTGAGATTTCACTACAAGAAATTTAAAGTGTAGGTACACTGAGAAAAATCTTCTGGTTCAATCCTAGAATTCTGAATGAAAAAATTTTTTTTTCTACTTTTACAATTTCTAGTTATCATAACCATTTTCTAGTTATCATAACCAGAAATTCTGTTTGGTTTTACTATTCTGTGGTAATATGGTTGGATCTTTTTGTTGGTTTAATCAGAACATTTTTCTCTGTTATACTTGAATAGAAAAGATTTCAAGAGATTTGTGCTTTATCTTCCAGGAGCTCATATATGTGAACGTAAATAATGTAGCAGATATAAAATTATTTCATCGGGTAATTATTATACACGGTAAAATAGTTCGTTTCGTTGCGACGTTCTTCGATGATTACGAAAGCCGACAAATACGCGTGTTGACAAGGTGCAGCAGAACATCGCTGTTGTAACGGCCGATATGCGGTGTTTGCGATGGAGCATTCGGGCGAGCAGCTCGCGTGTTCGCATAAAAGTCATCGCAGATGTTTCTTCCTTTTCAGCAATGCATTTTCGCGGACACACACGCAACGCGGTGGTTCGCCGCGACCGGACCTGTTGCAGCTGCAACACGAAAGACTATACGTGGACTCCGTTCTCGCGACGGCCGACGTGCGGTGTGGAAGCCTTTTCACTTACTATCGTGTTTCCCCGCCTCGTGCGACGACGCCTTGGCGTTACGTGTCACGTTGGTTCGTCGACATTTTTATTATTCTACCAGCCGACGACGGTTCGACGCACCGCGCCGATTATGCAAACGCGACGTCGCATTCGTAGCTTTTTTCTTACGTATGCACGCAAGAAAAAACGGTCGCGCGGAAGTCTCCGTTAATAATTAAGGATACGTCGCGTGAGTCAAAATTCAGTGTTGAATTTCCGAAGAACGATATATCGTAACGCGAGAGCTAAGAAATTCTTTTACACAGCAGAATAAGGATACCCGAGAACTTCCGAAATATTTATTTCAGCCGCGTTGCGTAATCTGGTAAATAATCCGAAGCGATTGTACAAAACGATCGTTAGTAATTTTATAGGACTACCAATGATACTATTTTTATTTGAATAATCATGTCGATTTTTTTCTTTCTTGTGTTAGATATACAGTACAGAATATTGGAAATATGTAAATATAATATAAATGATTCCAACGATATAGATTCTTCAAAATAATTCTTTAATAATCGAAAAGAATAAGAAGTTATCAAATTGATTGGCAGTTTTAGTAAAATATTATTGGCGGTTTTAGTGTTAAACCTAAATGAATCAGCTGTTTCGATCTTAACGATCCCATTTTCGGGATGCTTGTCCTGCTGTCCCGGCAAACATATTAAATGTCTCAATTCGAGTAAACTGTAACAAAAAATCTGCAGAAAAATGTTTTCTAAATTTTGTAAAAATGTTCAGAATGTGTATTAAGTTCCAAGAAGTAACGCAATAGTTGAATATGTTTTCTCTGCAATGAACAAAGTATGGACAGCAGAAAAACTCAACTCAGAGTTTGCATTTTAAAAGCAATATTATAATAACGAATATTAATTTTGATTTCAGCTACCAAGAATTTTATGCATTTCTTAAGAGAGAAAATGCGCCTTCCTTATTAACCCTTACCGTACTGATATGGATAACTAGTGACCAAGCGATTCCTGTTCGTGCAAGTTTCTTTGAGTCTTTCGGTAATTATAAATTATATATATATATATATATACACTACATTTTATTATTTTCCAAAATAAAGAGTCAATATTTATTCTAGAAAGTTGAAAGTATGTTAGTGAATTTTTAGAGATTTTTAAAATTATTTTGAAGAGGCGAAAAAACGAAAAGATTTGAAGTGACCCTTGATGGTATGGATGAGGTACCAAATTGTAGATGGTATGGTAAGGGTTAAAAATAATTTTGAATGATAAATAATAAATAACTGTATTATTTTTTAAAATAAATAACTATATTATTACATTTGTAATAAAGTTATTCAGCTTTAGATTTGAAAATATACGATGGTCATCTTAAAATTAAACCAAAATGATAAATTATATTGAACGTAAAATTTTGTTCACGTGATTTTAATATTCAAGTGGAATCATGGTCGTTAAATGCGATCGCAACTTCGCAGACGGTACACCAAATACTTTGACAAGCACGTGTCTCCTCCCCCCAAAGAAGTTAATGCTAATCCCTCGAGTAAAGATACGAGACAGCCTCGAGACTTATCGAGCGTTAAATAATTGAGGAAAGGTCGACGGTTGTCTCGAGAACTGTATTCCGCCACTAAAAATGCCGATAACAATGTCTCCGTGTCTGCACTCGTTTGTCCACTCAGTTTAATTATTCGGAATCGTGTTGCTTGCTTTTTGCGCATCGCGTGCTTACTTCGACTGAGCGCAGGTTGGAGAATAGATAATTGGAAAAAACAAAGCATTTATCGGCGGGGCTTTATCGCAACGCGTTACTACATAGGTAACATGGGCTGTATAATAAATAAACGGCCCGCTTATTATTATTGCATTGTCGGTGGAAATTGTCGGTAAACGGATTATTCGCCGTCGTCCCCAGTGATGAGGGTCAGAATTATCAAGCGAATCTGAAGGACCTTGAACCGCTCTCGCGACAGTAAAGTCATCTGACGACAATGATGACGGCGACGACGATAAATTCATATTCATAAGGCGTACCTCAGTCTCTCTTTCCAGGATTTCTCATCCTAAAATTCCATAACTTTTCCTTGATTTCAAGACAAAATTTTATAATTTTTCCTGTGTGACTTCAGTAATATTTAAAATTTTTTTGTAATTTCTCGTCCTACTTATCTGGAAACTGTTAAATATTTTGTTAAAATTAATTTAATGTAGCAACGTAAATTAACCCTTACCGTATCCTATACAATTTGCTGCCTCATCCATACTACCAGGGGTCACTAGAATCTCTTCGTTTTTCCACACCTCTTCAAAATAATTAAAAAAATCTCTAAAAATTCACCAACATACTTTCAACTTTCTAGAATAAATATTGATTCTTTATTTTGGAAAATAAATAAAACGTAGTATAATTTATAATTACCGAAAGACTCAAAGAAACTTACACGAACAGGAATAGCTCGGTCACTAGTTACCCATACTGGTACGGTAAGGGTTAATATTAACAATGCCGACACTGCTTGCATTTTTAATTGTTGTTATTAGTAAAACTGTGTAGAGAGAGAGAGAGAGAGAGAGAGAGAGAGAGAGAGAATAACGTACATATATTAAATTTTTTTAAAGTCAAGCGTTTTAATTTTCCAGAAAATTTTGCAAAATTCCTTGACTTTTACCTTATTTTTGTAACAAACTGTTTCTGTAGCAACCCTGCTTTCTCTCTTTTTGGGGAATCTTTATAATTCGTATGCTCGCTTCTTTCGAGAAACGCAATGGAAGAGCAAGGTAATTATTTTGCAGTTGGCCGCTGCATGATTAAATGTATAAGGGATACACAAACGAGTTTGTTCGCTCCTATTGAAGTCGCCGCTCGAAAGATTCAGCTGCAATCGAAACGCCGATTACCCTCGAGCGCGTATATTTCTTGAATAAAATCGCAGCGCGTCAAGGATCAAATTTGCATGACAAATAGCGAGGTACGCGAGGAAGTCTTACTTCGTTAGACTTCCATCGGATACATACTTCCTTACGAACGTATTAAATTGAAGCATTTTCTACGGGTATCACGAGAGATAGCGCAATAAATTGTTCCTCGGCCCTTCACGGAACTCCTTCACTTCAAAGTGGAAAGGTAAAGAGAATGGTAAGTGGAAGTCAATAAGGTTATCGGGGTTCGCTCGGCCGATCATTTATACTAACGAGTTCGTTGCATAACGACACGGAAATGATAAACTTACCTGTAAACGCCGTAGTGTTTGCCACTCGCACGGTCGCCGCAGATCGAACACAGATGTTTGCTGCCCGACAAGGGGTGATTAGGCGGATAAGGCGTGACCGTTTTGCTCTGGCCGCTGGGCGATGTACTCAGGAGGTTGCTGTGACAACCAGCATTGAAGGGTCTTTACATGCAAAGCAGAGAATGATCGTCTATGAGAGCTACGCCGCTACAACTATAGTATGCACATTTCGGAACACCCCCTGTGCTAATTTATAGATTGCGAAAGATGCGCTCTTAACCCTCCGGAGCTGACGGTGGGTCTATTGAACCCACTAAATAATAAATCTCTCTTTGTCGAAAATATCAACTAATTTAATTTTCTTTATGTTACATCTATAAATTTGGATTATTTTTATTAAAATATGTTATAAATATGCAAAAATGTTAAACAATTTAATTTTCTTTAGGTTACATCTGCAAATTTATTCTTATTAAAATGTGCTTGATATATTCGTTCTTTTTTATATGCATTACATTTATCTATTTTGGTTCCTTGAAATTAATTATCGCCTTTTAATTAATATACATAGATCCTCTTGATAAATAAGATTATTTTTCAGTTCTTTACACATGATGGGTCGTTCATGGATTCATTTTTACAAGTATATATAATACAAAAAAATTATTAAGTGATTCTTACATATTATAATTTAACATCTTTAAAAATATTTATAAAATTATGTTATATTTAAAAAAATGATAGAAATTATTATTTAACCAAGTGCGCCAAATATTTTAAAGAAAAATACATGAATGACTTAATCGTGTGCATTAAGCATTAAAATGGGTCTTATAAACCAAGCGTCAGTAATTCAGTTCAGAAGGGCTAAAATCTTAGAAAATCAACGAGCAGTATCTCTTGCAATTCTTTTAATTAAAAAGAGATAATTGCGAGAATTCTCTTTATAAAAAAAGTCATTTAAAAAAATTCGTTTATTATCGAGTCTAGTTTTATATGAATATTTACTAAGAATAAATTAAAGTGTTATAAGAATACCTACCCTGGACTGTTGGGACCCGATGGGCTGAAGTTCCCTGGGTTGATAAGGGCCGTATCGGGCTTCAAGTCGAGAGGACTTTGCGGACCCACCGATGACATCGACATATTGCTGTTATCTAAACTCAGCCCTGAAACGAAAAAAAAAAATCCAATTTATTTCATCAGGATTTCTCTCTCTCACTTTATACTCCATTTATTTTATTAATATTTATATGAGCGCGCGTTTTCTACTCGATGCTACGTACACGCGTCGTATCTTCCGTCTAGAAATTTTTTCAGACGGACGATCACGCGCAATAAAGAGCAAGAAATCGCCTTCAATGCAAATCACAGGCAATTCTTGATGTTGCGTGAGAAGCGCATCTATTATGCGACCGGTGCTTCGCGGTTGGTATCCTTTCTAAAGCGGTGAAAGGGCGAAGATCAGCAGTCAGGCGCCTTTTCCGCATCTTCCGTGTCCTTCGACATTCCTCTCGCGCGAGGACGACGACGCCTCTCGATAGCGAATGCTACCGGCGCTGGTCGGCAATTTACAATTACGGTAAAACCCCGAGATGTGAATCGTAGAGTTCGAGATTGATCGGATCGACGCTTTGAAAAGAAAGTTCGTGCTCGCCGCGAGAGAAAGATACGAGCGATTCTGCTCTCGAAGGTCGAGCGAAATTACGCGATCACGAGACGAATGCGAAGTGCCAATGGTTGCATGAAAGCACTTATTTTACCCTTAACGTGTTGAGTCTCGTTCGCCTCGAGTAGACTCTCATTATCCGAGAATTCTCTCCTCGGCATCACGTGAATGTGAATTCTTTCTCTTGCTGCGGAACGAGGAGATTGCACTTTACGTGCCGATAATATCTCTGGTATCATAAGTAGTAATACACTATAATCGATAAATTCAATATTTATTATTTATTTAATTGAGGGAAACTAAGATCTTATGAGTTTAAAAGCAGCGGCGACTTTGATACTCGTAGATCTTAGGATAAGGAGTGTCTAATGGAATGTAGATTCCACGTTTGAAGGATTACTAGAAAGATTTATGAATATGAGAATTTATCGTCAGGGTAATATGAATTGAGTCATTCAAGTGCATTCGTGATTTAAAGTGAGAATGTATGATTGTTAAATTAATGTCAAATTAGGTAAACTCAATTTGAGTTGATTATAATCCATTTCTATAAGGCACCTCTCAATACCTCGTTAATTTAACTAACAACAAGGCAATGGAGTTAACAGTTAAACAATTTAATTCAAGAAATGTATTAAATTGATTCAAATTTGGTTTATTATTTACTAAATGCATATGTTCACTGAGAAAACTTTCCAGACTTTATCCGTTCAAAATGTAACAAACGAATCTTTTCGATAGATTTTGATCGTATTTATAGGACTGTCCGATGAAATTTTCTAATATTTTATCGGATAGTCCTAAAATTTCATCGGACAGTCCTATAAATACGATCAAAATCTATCGGAAATATTCGTTTGTTACATTTTGAACGGATAAACTCTGGAAATTTTTCTCAGTGTTGATATTGTTCAAGCATGAAATACAGAATCTTGCATAACGCATAACGCATAATCCATAAGAAAATGAATCAAAATCCTTCATTTCTCTCCTTTCCTTTGAAATAAAGGATTCTGACAGATTGATTTTCTTATGCGTTATGCAAGAGTCTGTGTTTCCCGCTTTACTCTTTGAAAGCAATTTAAGCACAGAAAGAAATTACTCTACATTTTGATACACAAAAACCTGGAAATTAAAAATAACAAAATGGTAATTAACCCACCGTTAACAACATAAATTTAAACCTATCAGCTAAAGTTCTTCAGCTAAAGCTTTTTTTGCATCAGTACGTACATTAAATTTGTTGTTTTGGCTCGTAGTCCTTCTTAACATACTCTTATTTAATTTCATTACTTGAGCCATATTAACTTTTATTAACTATTAGGGTTAATCCAATGGATTGGTTCCATTGATTCTTTCACGTCTAACAGTGTAGAAGCAAAAGTATAGATTTAAAAGTCTGCTAAATTCTTCCAGATTCGTGTGACATTTATGACTCTAAATGTCTAACAAGATTCGACCGTAATAACGCAAAGACCCTCGAAAGTGAGAGTTGGAAACAAATGCCCGAGGGGGCAAGAACCCCATGAAATAAGGGGATTCGTGAAAGTGGTCTTGTACATAAAAGGGTCTGATAGTTTCACGCAATCGACAATACGTTACTGACGTTTGTATTAGGGCTCATTTCGTCGGCATGAGGTGCGAGATTACCAAAAAAAGACAAATCTACAACAAAGTCTTGAGGAAATATGAATCGGAATGTTCTGTGAATGAGATGAGAATGCTTCTCTCCCATCGACCACCACGAGATATCGCTAATTTCGCGGCTATTGTACCGTCAATTTTGGTATGACAGTCTCACGGAATTACAAAGTATTGATCCTCACGATACATTTCCCATTATACGGCTCCCTCGAGTGTTTATCGGTCGTCTCGACGGTCGCCTCTTCCCTCTTTACCCTCCAATGGCATAGATTCAGCCTCCCTCAGGGGAGAGGTTCTTTTCCATCGTACAAAAAAAGCAATCCATTTTTGCGCCCGGCGTTTATCCCCTTTAACGGTGGCGAAATGATCGATGGAGGTTTACATTTCGCGGAAAAAAATTTCTGCAGAGAATTCGCGTCGCTTATTAGTAATGATCCTTTCAAACGTCAAGCAATTTTGAAATTGTCTCGTGGCACAAATATCGAGGATAAAGATAGAAAATTGATTATCGAAAATAGCATCTTCCGTTGATTGTAAGCTGGACTACTAATACAACATTTACTAATATTCTACAGTATTAATCCCATAAATTGTTAATTATGCTGTATCACTTTATATAGATGTTGGCAGCAAAATTAATTGCCATCTATTTAAAGTCATTGTCCTGTGCATAATGCATAAAACAATTAACCTATCAGAATTCTTTATTTCAAAGGAAAGGAGAAAAATGAAGGACTTTGATTGGTTCATTTCTTATGGATTATGCGTTATACAAGATCCATGCTCCTTGTTTAAACAATATCAAGATATGCACTTAATAAATACACTTAAAAAATACTAAATTTTAATAATTTGTTTGAATAGTTCTAAGTAAATATTAACTAATTCATATTTTATTTAATATAAAAACAATTTGATTTAATTATCACTTTTTTAAGTAAATATTCATGTACTGTAAATAAATCTTGATAAATGCTTACGTAGTAGTCAAAGAAATTTGTATTGAGATTTAATTTTAAAATTAAATAATTTTTTCAAGGTATCGAGCACGGAGCAACGCCTTCGCGCCTATTATTGTACAATCCTCAATCAGCAGTAGTAATCATCTCGCGTGAACCGAATAGGTCGTCTCTCCCCGACGACCTTGTCTGACCATCGCGGGTATTTTTCACTTTCTATATATTCAAGCGGCCGACCCATTATTGCTCGACGATGATGAGCCCCCGGACCTCGCACCTCGGCTCGCGTTTTCTCCCGCACCGTGGGAGTTAGGGTGGAACGTCCGGGAAGATAAATGACATTTTAATCGACTCCAGACACGATCGCCGAGGGACGCGATGTTGACGAATGTTTGCGAGACGACAAAGGAAAGAGGCGGTATTAAGCCCCGTCTAGACGATCTATAATTCGGAGACAGAATTCTATCCATTATGGACCGAAACTGTATACAAATTTTATGGAAAGAAACCTTTCGCGTTGATGCTAACTTCGCAAATACCCTCTCCTGAATTTTAAACTTGAATTGAAAAATTTTTCTCAAAACTGTCTTTTTTAAAGACAAATGTATTAAGAAGCTTATTAAATATTTCTTGCAGTTTTATAATATTTTTCATAATTTTAATCTCTTTATGTGAAAAACGAATTTGAGAGCTTTAAGAATTTTGGAATCTCAAGTTCTTTTTGATTCTGTCGTGGATTTTAGATCGTCTAAAATGGGCTTTATAGGAGGATGAATTTTGAAATCTCAAGTTCTTTTTGATTCTGTCGTGGATTTTAGATCGTCTAAAATGGGCTTTATAGGAGGTGGCTGCAGCAACAAGCGTTCGTTCAGACGATTCGCTGTTGAGGACGCGTCAAGTGCATCGGTAATTGCACGTCTGACGTCACTCTCCATCGCTCTCTGTCTCTCTCCTACACTTTTTCTCGGTTACTCTCCGATCCATTCGGCCGACTCGCTTGCTCGGAAGCGCATCACTAACCGACAAATGCGCAGCAGACGGATAGATTGGGATTTATGGCGCTGCACCAGAAATGACCGCCAAGAAAACATCGATGGTCACTAATCAGTATGGAAGATAGCACCGACTTTTTTTTACAAGTACCGAGAAATCCCAAAATTTACACGAAAAGAACGATTTTGCTGTAGTATCTAAAAATTTAGATAAACACATATCCGAAAATAATTTTTATCTTCGTTAATAAAGATTATCACGTTAATAAAATAATTGCCATCCTAAATTTGCTCGTTGTTGGCCTAAGCCTTGTTTTTACATATTGTTTTAAAAATAATTTTATTGGACATCAAAATAATTACGAAAAAATTAAAGTATTACACTGAGAAAAAATATAGTCAATTTTAATAAATATTTAGTTGAATAGTACCAACTAAATATTTATTAAATATAAAGACATATTTATTTGATACAAAAAACATTGATTTGATTTAACTATCATTCTTTTTACTGAACAAATATTTATTTATGATAGGTAAATGTTTAGTTGGCAGTATTGAATTAAATATTTATTAAAATTGACTGTATTTTTTTCTCAGTGTATGAGCAACGCTGCAAAAAGTTTTGACATTCTAGCAATCAGTTTGAGTGTCCTAATAATTATTTTGACAATTCAACAAAGTTATTTTAAATCTTTGTTTAATTAAATCTTCACATACTGCAGCAAAACAGTTTTTTTCATGTAACATTAGTGGACATAATGTTCTATATACGCAACAATACGGTAAAAAACATTACAGCAGTTTATTGAACATAAATTATCAAGTATCAAATATAATTATAATAATTATAATTAGTACACAATTATTTATAGTATACAATTAAATAACTTATTACATTTATT